GATCAGCCAGCCTTTTTCAATGCTGGAGCTCTCACTCGCGCTCCTTTCGTGTGGCAATTCGGCTCCGGGGGCTGATAGAATCAAGTTCAATTTGTTGAAGAACCTCCCAGACGTCGCTAAGAGGCGCATGTTGAACTTGTTTGGTCAGTTCCTGGAGCTCAATATTGTTCCGGATGATTGGAGGCGGGTGAGAGTTATAGCCATTAAAAAGCCTGGAAAACCCGCGTCAGATCACAATTCGTATCGTCCCATAGCGATGTTATCGTGCATTCGAAAATTGATGGAGAAAATGATCCTTTTTCGTCTGGACAAATGGGTTGAGTTGAACCACCTACTCTCAGATACTCAATTTGGTTTCCGTAGGGGCAAGGGAACGAACGACTGTCTCGCGTTGCTTTCCACTGAAATTCAGTTGGCTTTTGCTAATAAAGAGCAAATGGCGTCTGTCTTCTTGGATATTAAGGGGGCTTTTGATTCAGTATCGGTTGAAGTCCTTTCAGACAAACTCCACGCTTGTGGCCTTTCTCCATTAATTAATAACTTTTTGTACAATTTGCTGTCAGAGAAACATATGAGCTTTTCTCATGGAAACTCTACAGCTTCACGATTTAGCTACATGGGTCTCCCCCAGGGCTCATGTTTAAGCCCCCTTCTGTATAATTTCTACGTCAGAGAAATTGACAATTGTCTAAGGGACAACTGCACGTTGAGACAACTTGCAGATGACGGAGTAGTGTCTATGACAGGACCCAGAGAGGCCGACCTGCAAGGACCCTTACAGGATACCTTAGACAATTTGTCTACTTGGGCTATCCAGCTAGGCATCGAATTCTCCACGGAGAAAACTGAGTTGGTCGTTTTTTCTAGGAAGCATAGCCCAGCACAACCAAAGCTTCAACTTTTGGGTAAACCGATCACTCATTCTATGTCCTTCAAATATCTTGGGGTCTGGTTCGATTCAAAATGCACCTGGAGATCCCACATTGAGTATCTGAAGCGGAAATGCCAACAAAGGATCAATTTTCTCCGATCAATTACCGGAACGTGGTGGGGAGCCCATCCGCAAGATCTTCTAACGTTGTACCGGACAACGATTTTATCGGTTTTAGAGTACGGTAGTTTTTGCTTCCAGTCGGCGGCTAAAACGCACATCATCAAACTGGAACGGATCCAGTATCGCTGTCTTCGTATCGCGTTAGGATGCATGCACTCGACTCATACGATGAGTCTCGAAGTGTTAGCGGGCATGTTGCCACTCTCTGATCGGTTTTCGGAATTATCCCTCAGGCTCCTCACCCGTTGTGAAATTATGAACCCACTGGTGATTGCAAACTTTGAGAAGCTTCTTGAGCTAAACCCTCAAACTCGTTTTATGTCATTGTACTACGTGTACATAACACAGGATGTCAGCCCTTCGCAGCATAATCCCTATCGTGTTTGCTTCTCCGACTTCGACAGTTCTGTTCATTTTGATTTATCAATGACGCAAGAGATTCGCGGAATCCCAGAGCATCATCGTTCCATGATTGCTCCGTCAATTTTCGCTGCAAAGTTTGGCCAAGTTGATTCCGCAAGATCGTTCTTCACAGATGGATCACTAATAGAGGCGTCCGCTGGTTTTGGTATTTATAACGAATTTCATAGCGCCTCTCGAATGCTTCAAGCTCCTTGTTCCGTATATGTTGCTGAGCTGGCGGCAATACATTGTACGCTAGAAACGATCGCCTCACTTGCACCAGATCATTATTTTATTTTTACGGATAGTCTCAGTTCTGTCGAGGCTATTCGCTCCATGAGGCCGGTAAAGCACTCCTCGTATTTTCTCATGAAAATACGAGAGCTTCTAAGTGCTTTATCTTTAAGATCTTTTGTCATCACCTTTGCATGGGTCCCATCTCATTGCTCGATTCCGGGCAATGAGAAGGCGGACTCGCTTGCAAAGGTGGGCGCTATGGAAGGCGATATTTACGATCGACAAATCGCCTACGACGAATTTTTCTTCATTTATCGTCAACAGTCCCTCGCCAGCTGGCAAAATAAATGGAGTGAAGGGAGTTTGGGACGATGGTTATATTCAATCATCCCTAAGGTGTCGAAGTGTCCTTGGTTCAAGGGGTTGGATGTGGGTCGAGACTTCATTCGTATGATGTCTCGCCTCATGTCCAATCACTACTCGTTAAACGCTCACTTGTTCCGTGTTGAGCTGGGCGACAGTAATCTCTGTGAATGTGGACAAGGTTACCAGGACGCAGATCACATTATTTGGTCATGTGCTGAGCACCGTGGAGTCAGATCCGAGTTGTATGATTCCCTTCGGGCTCGAGGTAGACAACCTAATGTTCCAGTTCGGGATATTTTGGCTAGACGCGATCTGGAGTTTATGCAACTCATATATGTTTTCTTGAAGAATATTAACCATAGATTGTAAGTTTGATTAACCTTGTGTTTAGTTTGTGTTTTGTATGTGTGTGTGTATTTTTTTTTTGTAGATTTGTTTCTGTAATAATTGTATAATTACAGAGTTGATATAACGTCGATAGGATTAAGTATTTGTTTTAGAAATAGTGAAATTTTTGAATCATAAATCATATTCCAAATCTCCTTTTCCCTCTCCCGATCCAAACAATTGTCATCCACTAACCTCGAGAAGACCGCGAGTAATCGGTTCCAATCCTTTAATTTTAGATTTAAGACATTTATAATGTATAAAGAAAATGATAACTTGGCTCTGTAAAGTTTATTCGAATGAGCCTGTACAAATAAAGTAATTAACAAAAAAAAAAAAAAAACACGTGTATCATCTTCGGCTTTACTTCGTGAAGCAGCTTGCCAACAATTTGCTCGTTTCCTTCTACCGCCCCGAATGAGTTAGGTCGCACGAGCTGCTTGTCATGAAAAAGAACGGTGAAGATTATATCATTATTGTTTTCCACTTCTGACATAGCGGTATTATTCGGTTCGTTGATCGCTTGTTTTTTTCTCATTTGGAGATATTTTTGATTCCTTGTCTGCAACTATATGAAATGTAGTTTATAGGCTGACAAGGACGATTCTGCTGTAGGCGATTCGCTTCCAAACGGTAGGTTGCACATATCAAGAACAACATGTGAAAAGGGCATACAAGCTTTTTGTAAACAAACTTTGTTGTTTGTTTTGTTTAGTTTATTTAGTAGTGAAAATTTCATCGAGTTCTGGCCTGACTTAGCCAGCTGTCATTACAGTCGCGATGTCATAGAATGAAGATTGGACCATTTATTGAGAAAAGTATCAATCTGCCAAATTGTCCAGATTTTCGTCCCATTGAAAAATTTTGGGCAATTATCAAGCGCAAATTGAAGATATGTGGCAAAACAATCAAAACACCATCTGATTTGGAGAAGTAGTGGAAAAGGATGGTAGATGAGGAAGACAGTAGTACCAACCGGTGAGCACTCGTGTTTATTTCAGTTACCATGGGGACGTAATTTGTGATTAGCCCCGGTCCCTTTCAAATTGTATCATTATTTATGTACGGCCTTAAATTTCAAATGACGTTTCACATTCATCTAGTGATGGCCGATTTTCATTCGAATAATCGATTAATCGATTAACCAACCGAAAAGTAAAATATTTTGTAATCGGTTATATCATGCTGATATAAGCATTAACTTCTTCAGAGGATAATCACCCATCGTTTCAAACATATGCTGAACTCTCATTGGTAGAAAAATGACAGCACAGCGAACAAAAAATAATCGATTAGATGTAAATCGAATAATTTAAAAAAATGAGCGTTTTTTTACTTTATTTCGCCTTGGAGAAAAGACCTATTTTGTGCGGCCAAATTCTAAACGGAACAGACTTTATTGAATGTATTTGATAGCATGTTTTCAGCTTTCAGATGGTGACTTCACAATCAAAATCGATGGTTGCAAACATTGTAAAAATACGTTTTTCTGATAAAATCAAATATGGCTAAATCCAAGATGGCCGCCAAAAATTTTCCATTCCAAATGAAGGTCATATCCTTTCTCTTCATAATAACGTGTTATTCGCAGGAGGATTCCATGTGAAATTTCAAATATTTAACATGATAACAAGAATTGCTAGAAATTCAACTTTATTAAAACTGTAAGGCCCCTTGGTCAGTGAGGTGCCCATGAATTTCAGCTAAATAAAGTGGCAATCTCACTTTTTCATCTGTTTCGACCAATCAAGCGGGTGTATATAAATATTTAAAGACCATGTGTCAATGGCGGCCTGGTTTCAACGAGAATTTCACATTTAGGGCCCATGCATTAATTATGTCACGCTAAATCGAGGAGAAATTACCCCCCCCCCCCTATCGTGGCGTTTTTCCTATACCTAATGCATTGCTTGTCACAAAATCTTAGACCCCCTCCCCTAGAGCGTGACATAATATATGCATCAACCCTTATAGAAATTTTCTAAAAAATGCTCTTCAACAGTAACAGCACCACATGCTTCGGTTTGGTAGCTTAAGACCGAGATTGTACGAACATACCAAAATTCATTAAAAGGGCAATACCTAAAAACGTGTCTTGTAGGGTACAAGAATATTCTCAGTGAGGACCGGGCGTCTGTCTCACGCAAAGGCAGATCCAGTTCAGCATTTTCTAGACATCTTCACCCCTTGATACGGCATGTTCATTATTATGAAGCACAATTTTTGCCAACATGGGGACCTAAAATTCCACCCACCCAAGCTTAAACTTTCCGAGTAGAGGACTATGTTTTGGTTAGAATTGATTTAAATTAATTTCAATGAGTTCAAATATTTCTGCGCCACATCACCACCACACTCTCATGCCGTACAATAAAGTCAAGTCTGTCGGTAGCCGGAGAATAACACATCTTCGAATGGAAAGTATAACTCTCGAGATACCGACGACGACGACAGTCCGTTAAGTGATTGTAGTGCTTCCAAGAATGACATACTACCGTATATACTTCTCAGTTGAGCACTTGAACCACAGGAGCATCAGTGATGCTGCTGCTGCTGCTGCTGAGAGGCGCTCATATCTCTGCGAGTACAATAAAGCATCATTTTCTTGTCATCCAGACGACGACGAAAGGAAAGACTCTTCCAGCTATGTGTAGGCATGGTGAATCTCTTGTGCTAGTAGATAGAACTGCGCGAAATCTCTCGTCGGGGGCGCACGCGTCCAGGCTTACACGCGGCATGAACAATAACAATAAATTTATCAACTTTAGTCGCCCGATCGTGGAGAGGCCGTTCGAGAGCTCCGTTGCGAATCCTGAGCCCTAGCGGTTCATCGTCAGCAGTGTGCGGTCGATTGTTGGATGACTCTGTACACGTTTCGTTCCTTTCGATAGTGAAAACGCTAGGAGAAATTGTGTCGTAGGGATCCGGAAACGAAACTGGAGTTAGAAGTTCCACTTACGTTATGCGATCAAATTCATCGCTGGAGTCATTATTTCACGTGGAAAGATAATTCCATTTGCATAGCCAGTTCGTTGAAAAGTGTGCACATCTTTAATTGAGACAATTGACGCAGCCTCTATCAGGGACGAGTGTGCATTCAGTGTTGATGACCACCACATTCGCGTGCGATTGAACTTGCTCTCTGTGATGTAGCAGGCCGTGAAAGTGTTCTCAAGTCGGAAAAAAAGTGTAAACAATGCGCGGGGATCACGTCAAGATCATGTAATTTGAAAACAAAAACAGTTAGAAATTTCGAAAGTAAACATCCAACAATCCTAGATATGGAGCCGAAGATTACAAACAGTGAATCCAAGAAAGACTCGCAAAATAATGGATGCGAGTTGGGAATCAACGAGCAAACGGGTCGGTTACAGTGGTGCCCCGGCTATCGATACGCGAAGGTGTTGTTTATGATACCGGCCGCTATGTTGCCGTTGGCGTTGTTGTTCCTAGTGCTCACCCGTTTCCATGTGGTTGGATCGGTGAAACATATAAGCCATAACCATCACCAACAGCAACACAACTACTACTCTGACCAATCAAATAAATTGGACGAGCTGCAATCACGATGCAAGTCGGTGAGAAGTACTGTGTCCGAGGTTTTAGAAGCCGAAGAGCGTGATATCTTGAAAGATGTGAGAACTTCGTTTGTCCCAAGCGGTTCGGTGATCCATTGTATTCCGGACGATCAGTATGGTGATCTGCTTACGATACCGGACGATGTCGGTCGGTCGGACATAGTCAACTTTTTCCGAGCGAAGCGTTTCTCGATAAGGCAAAGAAAGGCGACGAACTCCGTTCATCAGCGAATCTCCTGGAGCAGCGATGGTAGTCCGGAGAGCATTCGGTCGGCGCAGGTTGATACCATGAAGAAGTATATGGATACGAAGATGGATCCGTGTGACGACTTTTATCAGTATGCCTGTGGTAATTGGGATCGTGTCAATCCTATTCCCAAGGATAAGGCTGGGTTGGATACTTTCGAGATGTTACGGGAAAGTTTGGATAGCGTTTTGAAAAATTTGCTCTTGGAAACCAGTGATGGCAGCTTGTTGGAGATAGAAAATTCCTTGGCCACAACTGCTAGTCCTCCAGAAACCGAACATATTCGCAGGGTAAGGAAACGTATTATCGGTAAGCGTGCGGTTCTGAACAAGCTCCTTTTGAAGGCACAGATCAGGAAAACCAAAAGAGAACTAGCATCCCATGCCGCTCTGGAAAACGCTGTAAACAACGCGGAAACGAAAGCGCGCCATCTGTTTATTTCGTGCATGAACTACAGTCTCATTGAGCAGCGAGGACTTCAACCTTTGTTCTCATTGCTTGATTCCCTGGGTGGGTGGTCCGTACTGGATCCTAACTGGAGTGCGGATAATTTTGACTGGTTGAATCTAACCGCGCAGATCCGTAAGTTCAACAACGACATCCTGATCGTCGAATGGGTCGGTCCGGACATCAAGAACTCCGATGAAAATGTTATTCAGTTTGATCAAACTTCTTTGGGCCTACCGACTCGTGATTACTTCCTGCAGCCTTCCAACCAGAAGTATCTCGACGGATACAAGCAATTTATGATCGATGTGATTACGTTGCTTGAAGTACAACCTGAGGTTGCAAAAACTGTAGCCGACGAAATGATCGACTTCGAGATTCAGCTAGCCAACATTACCAGTTCAGTGGAAGAACGTAACAATGTCTCCGTTCTGTATAAGAAAGTCATTTTGGAAAACCTGCACGACGAAGTCCCGGAAATCGATTGGACTCGGTATCTTTCGATTGTGATGGAGCGACCGATAAATAGCTCCGAGTTTGTCGTCATGTTCGCTGTAAACTACATGAAAGATCTGGTTCAGTTGATCAACCAAACCGAACCACGCACGGTGGCCAACTATATCCTTTGGCGATTTGTCCGGCATCGCATTAATAACCTGGATGATCGATTCCTGCAAGCGAAGCAGAAGTTTTCCAATATACTCTTCGGTCGAGAGAAAAGTCCACCCAGATGGAAGAATTGCGTCAACCAAGTGAATGCCAACATGGGGATGGCCGTTGGAGCCATGTTCGTTCGGAAGTACTTCGATGAGAATAGTAAACGCGATACCCTTGCGATGACCCACGAGCTTCAGCAAGCATTTCGGGAAATTCTGAACGAAACCGATTGGTTGGACTCCCCCACGAAACGCCTGGCAGAAATGAAAGTAAACGCGATGTCCCTGAGGATTGGGTATCCCGACTTCATTTTGTCACACAAAGATCTCAACGAAAAGTATGTAGATTTGGAGATCGATCCGGATAAATACTTTGAAAACACCTTGAACGTACTCAGCCACATCCGACGAACGGATCAGAATAAGATCGGCCAGACGGTGAACAAGACCGCTTGGCATACGGCTCCGGCCGTTGTCAATGCTTACTACAGTAGGAACAAAAATCAGATCATGTTCCCTGCGGGAATTCTGCAACCTCCATTCTACCATCGGTACTTCCCGAAATCGATGAATTTCGGCGGCATTGGTGTCGTTATAGGTCATGAATTGACCCATGGATTCGACGACAAGGGAAGACTATTCGACCGTGATGGAAATCTGTATCGCTGGTGGAGTGATCATGCCATTGAAGCCTTTCACGAAAGAGCTACCTGTTTGGTGCAACAGTATGGAAAGTACACAATCGACGAAATTGGAGTTCAGATCGATGGCGAGAACACTCAAGGGGAGAACATTGCCGACAACGGAGGAATCAAGCAAGCCTTCCGAGCGTACACCAAGTGGCTGTCGGAGCAAACTGATCCGCAAGTGTTGGAGCATGAGACGTTCCCGGGATTGAACGTGACCAGCACTCAATTGTTCTTCCTCAATTTCGCCCAGGTATGGTGTGGAGCGATGCGACCGGAAGCAACCCGCAATAAATTGAAAACTGCCGTTCATAGTCCTGGGAAATTCCGAGTCATCGGAACCTTGTCCAACTCGGAGGATTTTGCTCGAGAGTATGGATGTCCGGTGGGAAGTGCGATGAATCCAGCCGACAAGTGCAGCGTTTGGTGAAGCCGACTGACGATGTTAGAGTTTAGAGTACAGTGCAACACTTGAAATCGTTTCCAGTGAAAGCAATTCCGCTTGTATATGCAACCAAATAAACGATATTAGCTTTAACCGCCAGAGGTTTCGTTATTCAATTACCACAAGTCCCCCGGGAGTGAATGTGCGCTGAAAGAATCGTTTCTATTTCAATTGATTTTCTAAACAAGACGTTGGAGCACTTGTTTTCCTCACATTAATGAAATTTGATAGGTTGCTCACTTCCGATTTGAGTTCTAGTTAAATTACAATTGGCGCTTGTACTTTGAACAGGCGTGTAGAGTGATAAAATATTGTCAGAATTGTTTAGCTTATTTTATTGCGGATTCGTTTGGGCATTGGTGTAGTAGGAGGGGGTAGAGGGCTGGTAGTTTGTGATATAATCTAAATTTAAAAAAAATTATAGTCCTATTCACAATAAATATTGCAAGGTCCTTAATTTAACTAATTTCTAGGGTATAAGTTGTTCAATGTCTCAGAATTTTATTGATTTTTTTTTTCGAATGCCATTAAGCCAAACGCCTGAGCATCCGTTCGAGTTCTTCAGCAACCTACTGTTGAACTTTCGGTGAGACAGTGTACTGACGAACTGCGGGTTTATTTTTCCATTCATCTTGAATTTCTATACGATGAGTAATGAAATTTCGTCAGGGATAGCAACTTTGAAACGGGTTTTAATCTCGAGTTGCGTTAATTCGGTCTCGGACAAAGATGACCGCGAGTCTTCAGGGACTGGGTTCATTTCATCAATTAACGCACATTGTTGAATGGACGCAGATCTACCGAATCGCTTCCAAAATCCCAATCCCGAGAATGCAATCAAGTACCAAATTTTCAATAACCAAGGTTGAAAGTATTCGAACTTGATTGTCAAATGTAAAAGGTATGTACAATTTTCCAAGTACCTTTAATTTCGTCCCACTAACGGAACGAATTTCAATAGGGGTTTTTTACGTTCAGCATTATTTATTTTTTTATAAATTCGGTCACTGATTAGGGTTATATTACTACCTGAATCTAGTAAACCATTGGTTATGTAGCCATATAATTTAACTTTAGCATAGGGCCTATTATCATTAGAAACTGAGATAACCTGTACATTAGGATCATCTTCGGAATACATTTACAATAGGCATTTACTCGATCTGCATTGATCAACGGTGTGGTTGGTAAATTTGCAGTAAATACATTGATTCATCTCCGGGAGTTTGTGAGCAGCAATCAAACTGGATAAGGATCGAATATTATTTGAATTTCCTTCCTGGGGATTTTCCTGTCCTACTGGAGGTTTTGAGTCGGAATTATTAGAAGACGAACCTTTTGGTTTCGTATTGGGTTTGGGTTGATCCTTATATTGTTTGCTACTGTTGACGGTGTTATTGTTGTTATTTGAAGGTTTCTGTTTTCGAAAATCAGATTGTTGGTTATTATTTGGTCGTGGGTTATTTGGGTTTCTATTATCCTGTTTTCCAGGTTTAATTTCATTTACAACGTTGGTTGATTTTTCAGAGCCAAACATTTTGTTGTAAAGCGTCAATCTGACGTCCTGCATCAACTAATTGTTGTAGGGTCTCAGTTGGTTTCCATAACAGATTTTTAAATAAACTTACCTACACAGCAAAAAATTAATTTTGATATCACATCAAAGTGGATGCACTTCAATCGTGTCAAAAATATGGTGTAATATTACTTGTCAAAAAGGACAAAATTGTCATCAATACAGTGCATGAACTGACATTACGCTACTTTCACTGCATTTGTTTATTTTTGTGGCCATAAAAATTACATGATATTTTCGACATGATTAAAATTTATTTTTTGCTGTGTATTGAAGAATCCTTGCTTCGTAATACGCTCAAGAAAAGACCATCTTTCAGAGATCGAAGATACCTTACCCAAGCAACACGGCTTGTCATAAAGAAGTTGAAAATACTTTGTAATGACTAACGCAAAGAATCACTAATACTTTAATATACATCATTTAATACATTTATACAACCTAAAAAGCGCAAGACGCGGAGCTTATACAACTAAATACTGGTCTTATAACATGTATTTTGGAAACATCATAAAGACCAGCGACAAAAAAAAACAATAAAAAAATCTTGAGCATGGGATTCGATCACTGGTCCTTGGCGTGGTAGACTCGTTTCTACCTAACTAGACCAACACCGCTTGATGAAAGGTTTGTTATAAGTATCTATCATGTTCTTGCCAATGGCATGAACATTATTTTCTCGTTCAACACGCCTTCGATCCGTCATGAAGACGTTTTGTTAGTAGCAAAGCGTACATCTAATAGCCAGAATGTTATTAAAACGTATTTTCAACTCCTTATAAGACAACCTGCACATTTTCAGTTGTAATAATTTATGAGATGTCATAAAAAAGTATTTTCAACTTTCTTTATAACAAACCTCCGAATACCTCATAAGAAACTGTCAATCACGGCATGAAGAGACAGTCCGGCTCAATGGCACCGTCAATGTTTACGTCAATCTGGATTGATTTTGTATACGACAAGTTTTATAGTGGTATTAAAACAGTAAGATGCACGTTCAAATAACATTTTAAGATAAAAGCAAAAGAAAACTATTTTGGAAAATGTTGAATCGAAGAAGTATGAAGAAAACATCTTTAAACCTCATATATAACGTAGGATGTTTTCTGCATCTCTTATAATACATTTATACAACAATCCATTCTAATTCTTTTTCAAAAGATGTTTTATGTGTTACTTGGGTAACAGGATGTACCAAACATTCCAATGCGTTTCGTTGACCTTTGGAGGAAGTTGAACTTTGTGGAGTCGGAACAACTGCTGAAACTGCCGCATCCTTATACACGATTTGTTTATTGCGTTTAATCTCCGCTTGTATGGCTTAATAACATCCCATACTGCCAATTGTGCGGTATGGGCGCCACATCTGATGCTCTCAAGAAGATCAACATCAATATCGTCCGGCTCATCTTGCAAAGCGAACTCAGCATCCCCTTGTCCGTTATTAAAATCGTCAGAAATGGGTTCATCCGCTCCACCTGAATCTTCGACCAGTTCTTCCTTGTCACTATCTTCGGCAGAGGTAACTCTAATACTAGAAGGTCCCGAAATAACGTGCTCAACTTTTTGGCTCACCTCTGGTACTCTCTTCGGTCCCAAGCTAGTCGATTCACCCCTCGAAACATAGGAAAATCCAATAACCCCTCTGTTAGGGCAGGATCGTGGTTTTCCGGCGAGGTATTTTGGGATCACACGCGGACACTAGTCACCAAATAACGGAACGGCAAAATCGGCGGAGTAGGCACTCAAGATCACCAACACTTTATTTAATTGGAAAAAACGATCTTTATTTCTTGGCTGTTGGAACTTTACTAACTCCTTTTTATTCCCTTACATTGTCTATTTAAACCTACGTTGTGTTGGAACATTTTATCTAATCAACTTGCATACAATATTTACAGTGCAGTACTAGAACTGCCAGCACTACCTGCCTTTATCGGGCAACAATCAGTTTGAGAACTGTCACCCTCATTTTATCTGTCAAACTTTCATAGCGAATCAAAACAAACATTGTGTAGTAGTAGAATTTCGACTAGAATGGGGTACATTAATCGATTTGCTTGGGACCAATAGGCTAGTCAAGTAGTGAGCCAATTGAAAATCGTTAGTTTCGTATTGATTGTTGGTAAAACTCAATGATCTTGGTGGTGTGTTTGTAGGCAAAACTGCCACCCGTGCAAAAGGGTTCAGTGTTTTTACCATGGCTGTTCAGAAGCACTGCCATCATCAATGTACTGCTGCAAGCCATCATCTTTCCAAAAGACAGTGCACAGAGGTACATCTTCACTTTCTTTGCAAAACTTTAGGAGGGCTCTGAGGCACCTTACAGCAGCCAACATGTTTGCCCCATTATCGTGGGTAACAGTTAGCAGTTGTTCAAGCCGCAGGAGCTCACGGTCTCCCAGTGTTGGTGAGTTCTTTGCCGTTAATGTTCACAAAAAGTTCACTATTTTGCCATACAGAAATTCAAAACAAAAAATTTTATGGGCGGATTTGGACAGTTTTTGACCTGTTTCATACGACCGGAAGATGTATGCTGGTCAAAAATGCCATGCCAAACTGATTTCCTAATTGTGCTAATAAACACGACGAGCATTTCTTATAGCAAAACTTGCCATAATAAAATGGGCATAGTAAATTTTAGTAAACAAACTACCACTTCTTCTTCCTTGTGTGTCACCTTTGTATTAAGCGCCTAGGCCCCATCGGTCAAACATGCCATGGTTAGTACGGCAATCCTTATCGTCAAAGAAAGCAAAGTGAGAAATCAATGATGCGAATATTTGCATCCTTGGGGGTAACCATACGAAGCACTGACAGGTGGATAACCGCCAAAGTATTGGGGTGCTGTGTACGGAATCGAAACGCTCGGAATTGAAGCTCTTGTAGTTGTGGGAGTTGTGGTAAATGTACGTAAATTGGTCGAATTTACTAAAGGTGGATTCGGAACACATACCGACGTAGTGACTCTAGGCGCATGCAATACATTGAGCAATCAAGTATTATCAAAATAACTTGATGCTGAATATTGTTGGCTATCACATTGACTAAAATCTCAGATTTTCAGTTGTTGCCCATTAACGACAACTAAGCGACTGCTGCAACTTGTTGCCTCGTCATGATCAAAATACTTTCTATAGGTTTCCAAACTAATAACCGTGACTGCTGCACCACAATCTATTTCCATATCTAGCATAATTCCTTCTACCTGTACTTCCACAAGACACGGTTTACTGAAACGACTGCTCGCCATCATCACACATGGATAATCATCCTCATCTTCAGAATCTCTTATCTGTTGCCCCTTGAAATCATAGCTATCAATTTCAATTTCAACCGGTGCTTTTTCTACAAAATTGACACTTTTATCACAGACAAACAGACATAACACATTGAATACTTTTCAATTTAAAACATCGTTGCTAAAACACTACCGCCATCTGTTGAGTATACTGTGATGGGTAGTACGCTGAACAGATGGCGGTAGTGTGTAAACGTCAAACGCAAGGGTTAT